TCATTTCTTGGACCGGAGTACCATCATAGCCTTTCAGGAGCCTTTCAGGTCAGAAGGGGATGAATCTGCGTATACGATTGTGAAATTGCGCGAGTAACGGTTTGGTGAGACTCCGCTGGGCAAACGCCGGTGCTCCGCTGGCATTCCGAGAATTTTGTTGAACGTTGAATTCAAATAAATCGGGCAGAGCGTTATTTGTCCATAAGTTAAAAAGGGATGATCGAGTAATATCCCTGAACGGCAGCGATATACAACATCTAACGTAAAGTTGTCATACGCGAGAATAGGATGAACGTATAATATCCTCTATTTGCGAAGAACGATACAAAAGAAAATTGTGAACTAATATTCAAGAACATAAGCGTTATCGTAGCCAAAAAGGGACGATCGATTAATATCCCTGAACGGTTGCGAAAACATGCAAGTGTGAATGCAATAGCATAGTGCGACATTAGAAATAATAAGCAAAACAAAAGCGAATTGAATTCTATTTAGAATTCTGTACAAAAAGAAAAACGTAAACAATCAAAATGCCGGTAGTGAAAATTAGTAGTTTAAAGCTGTCCGAAATAAAAGAGCTGCTTAGCGAAAGAAATCTAGAGACAGAAGGGCATAAAAATGAACTAATTTTGCGACTGAGTGAAGCTGTTGGTGCGGACGTGATCGATTTTACTCAAACGAATGTGCAATGTCAAATAAACGAGTTACGCGAAATGTTCAGCTCGGTGCTGCAGCTGATGCAGTCGAACATAAATACGCCAATTAGTGTTAATGCGAGTATTTCAAACTCTCATGCGGAACAAACACGCTTAGAGTCACCAAGTACAAGTGCAAATAAAAGCAATTATTCTGTAAAAGAAATTGCAGAGACGATACCGGACTTCGATCCAACGAACGATTCGTCGATCACCGTCGAGCAATTCGTAGATAGAGTGAATGGTGCGATCAGTGCCTATAAGTGGGAAGAAAAGTGCTTGTTGTTGACTGTGTATAGTCGACTCAAAGGCGCCGCAAAACTTTGGTTCAATTCGGCAGACAAATTGTACTCCAATTGGAATGAACTATCACAAAGTTTGTGTGAAGAGTTCAGCTGTATTCCGGATGAAGCTGACATACACTACAAAATGAGTCAGGCAGTGCGTAGGCCAAATGAAAACTTATTGGACTATTGTTTTCGTGTGAGTGCGTTAGGAAAGCGGTATGCATTAAGTGAGTCTGCAATTGTGAAATATGCTAGAGATGGGTTGAAACATCGTGAACTACAAGTGGCGGTGGCAACTACTCGTTTTAAAACATTGCGCGAATTCCGCCAAACAATAACCGATTATACAAAAAACATTCCGACGCGTTCGGGTAAATATGAAAAATCCACTGAAAGTGAGACAAGCGTAAGCGATAAGGGTGATAAAAGCAAACAAATCATTTGTTACAATTGCCAAGAAAAAGGACATGTTTCGAGTAAATGCCCGAAACCACAACGCAGGCGAAGGTGTGTAGATTGCGACAAAGTGCATCCTAAAAATGAACCCGAAAATTGCGGGAAAAAGAAAATGGCAGTAAGGAAAACAAAGGCACAGCGAGAAATAATCACGAATAACATTTTTGAGCAATGTGTCGTTGTAAACGGGCAACAATTGATGGCATTTATTGACACGGGTAGTGAGTGCAGCATGGTCAGAGCTACCATAGCCAACAAGATAAGCTGTGAGAAAGAAAAATGCGCACTGAAGATAAGTGGTTTTTGCGGTGGTGTTATATACGCGCACGCAAAAATTCGTGTTCAATTACAGATTGATAACTTAAAGCGATTCGTTACTCTGTTTGTGGTAGACGACGAACTTTTAACGGCGGATGTACTATTGGGTCAGGACCTTTTTAATGACATGCGGGCTGTTATCGTAGATGGCCGTATTACGTTTGCGAGCGATAATAAATTTAATATCGACGATTTCAAATGCGGTACTGACGATTTACGTGCTAAAAATGAGATGACAATTGATCTTGATACTGATGTTCCGATCGCGCAGAAACCATTTAGGGTTCCTGAGCCTAAAAAAGAAATTATAGCGGATATGATTAATGAACTTTTGGAGTGTGACATTATTAGTAAATCCAACTCTGAATATGCGAGTCCAATGATTTTAGTTAAAAAGAAAAACGGAAGCGAGCGTTTGTGTGTTGATTTCAGGCGGTTGAATTTACATATGCGTAAAGAAGTTTTCCCAATGCCAAATATTGAGGAACAGCTGCAAAATGCTAAGCAGTACATTTATTTTACAGTGCTAGACTTAAATAGCGGGTATTACCAAATACCTATCGCGAGAGATAGTCAGAAGTATACTGCGTTTGTAACGACACAGGGGTTATTCGAATTTAAGCGAATGCCTTTTGGGCTAAAAAACGCACCTGTAGTGTTTCAGCGATTAATTGTCAAAATAAAAGAAAGTGTTAAGAGTGACGATATGATGAACTATATGGACGATATTTTAATCGGAAGTCAAACGATAAACGAAATGTATGAAAAACTACATCGAGTGTTAAGTGCTCTTCGCGGAGCAGACGTAACGTTGAATATACAAAAATGCGAGTTTTTGAAACATACAATTGAATTCCTGGGTCATGAGCTAACTCCGGATGGTATTGCGCCAGGTTTAGCGAAAACTTTATCGATACGCGATTATAAAACGCCAACAGGTGTAACCGAAGTTAGACAGTTTCTCGGACTCAGCGGTTATTTTCGTAAATTTGTTCCGGGCTATGCGTTAATAGCCGCTCCGTTAAATCGATTACTGCGTAAAAATGAAACATTCGTTTGGACTGAATATCAGGAAAGTGCGTTTAATAAACTAAAAACGATTTTAGTGTCTCGACCAGTGATGACTGCATTTCGAGTTGATGCGGAACACCAAGTGCATACTGACGCGAGCTCAGTCGGTCTGGCCGGCGTGTTGTTACAAAAAGAAAACGAAAACTGGAAACCAGTCATATACTATAGTCGCGCGACCACAGACGCGGAGAAAAAGTATCACAGCTACGAGCTGGAGACGCTTGCGGTCGTCGAATCCGTCGAGAGATTTAGATACTACATTTATGGCAAG